AGCAGGTCAAGGTCTTTCAGAAGGCACTGGGCAGCTTCACAAGGAGTCAAACCCAACCCAACTTGCTGCCATTAAGTTGATGCCGACACACAGCAACCCTGTTAGACAGGGTAGGACAGCCCCTGTGGGTCTGGAAGCTGTAACTCTTTATGTGAGTAGAAAGCCTAATCTTTTGCCCCCTCTCAACATGCAACTGCTGGACATGTGTGTTGGAACATCGGAGGATTCTCTAGAATACTAGCAGAACAAAACCATTTAATACTCAGGTTCTGAACTACTGTATCTACTCTAGTATAAGCCGAGGCGCCTAATTTTACCACCGAAAAACTGGGGGCTTTTTCAGCACACAAAAATGTGCTGACTGTGTGATCAGGAGGTGTTGATGGGATCAGGTATCAGGCATCTGAACATCTAAAACCCAAAAGAAAACTATACCAAGTTGAATGGGGGCGGGGGCGGTTGGGGGGGGAGGAGGAGGGGGCATGGAGTGTAGACCCAATGCCTATCTGTAGACAATTGTACATCCCCTCACAGAGGGGTCCTAGGGAAGAGATGAGCAGGTCAGGGCGCAGTATAGCACTGATGTAACACACAGCTTTCCTCTAGTTCTTTGATGCTCCTTCACTCCACTCTCATGACCTCAATTCTACCCTACAAATCAGATTAGACCAGAATATGCACACTGCTACAGATAAGAGCCCACAACACAGGGAATCCAGGATAGATAAAACCCTCAGGGCCAACAAGGAGAGTAGAGATACCAGGAGGATTAGAGGAGGGTGGGGGGAGAAAGAGGGAATTGATCACAAGGATCAATCTAAAACCCCCTCCCAGGGGGACGAATAATGGAAAAGTGGGTGAGGGGTGACAGAGGATGATGTAAGAGATGGAAATAATAATCTAGAACTTATCAAGTGTTTGTGAGGGAGGGCAGGCGGGGAAGGGAAGGGGAAGAAATGGGGAGCTGATATCAGGGGCTCCAGTGGGAAGAGAATGCTTTGAAAATCATGATGGCAGCATATGTGCAAATGTGCTTGGCACACTGGAGGAATGTATGGATTGTGTTGAGATGTAAGAGCCCCCAATAAAAGTATTTTTTTAAAAATATGCTGAAAAAACTCAGCTTATACTTAAATATTTATGGTAGTAAAAGCACCTGGGATTATGTTGAAAAGTCCATGTTGTGACTTTGGTTATTTTACACACCCCACCCAGTGGTTACACACTAGGCTGCTAACCACAGGGTGAGCAGTTCTAAACCACCAGCCACTCTGTTGGAAAAGGGCTTTCTACGCCCATGAAGAGTTACCGTCTCGTAACCTCATAGGGGCAGGTCTACCCTGTCCTACAGAGAGGGTTGCTATGAGTGGAATCGACTCGATGGCACTGAGAACTGCATCTGTGGAGCCTGGGTGCTGTAGTGGTGGCACATCGGGCTGCTCACTTCAAGGGTAGCAGTGTGAAGCCGCCAGTGGTTACACAGGAGAAAGATGAGGCTTTCTGCTCCCAGGGAGAGTTACAGTCTGGGAAACCCCACGGGGGCTGCTCTGAGCTTCCCTGTAGGTTTGCTATGAGTTGGAATTGACTCTGTGGGCAGTGAGTTTGGAGAGAGGGAACTGGATCTCTTGTAAAAATGCTTACAATGGGATGATGTGGTAGGTGTCCTTGATGCCAAAGTGTGGCAGAGAAGAATTGCCCTGCAGGGTTAGTAGGCTGGCATCTTGGCTAGAGCTGATGGCCAGGCCTTTCTCCTGCGGCGCTGCTGGGTGAGTTCAAACCTCTGGCCTTTCCGTGATCAGTCAAGCACTTAACCTCTGCATCATGTGCACTCCCTCAAAATGTTAAAACTGAAAACAATGATCTCTACTCATACCCGCCCTGTATATGGTTTCTAAGGCTGTCAATCTTTGGGGGACTTGATAGCCTCTCCTTTCTCCTGGGGAATTACTGGTGGATTAGAACCACTGGCCTTGCACTCCATAGTCCGATGCTTACTTCAGTGCGAGCAGAGCTCTTGGAATTTATATAGTCTAAATCTCAAACCCACTGCCACCCAGTCTGATCCCACTGAGACCGACTCTGAACGACAGAGTGGAACTCCTCTTTGGATTTCTGAGACTGTATCTTTACAGGGGCGGACGGCCTCAGCTTTCTCCCCGAGAACTACTGTCGGCTTCCCCTGCCGACCTTGAGGTTAGCAGCCCAGATGCACCCCCCACTATGCTACTCGGGCTCTCCTCTAAAAAGAAAAGAAGAAGAAATACTATTTTGTAATAGCATACTGATTGTAAATAAACTGCAACACACGTACACCTTTGGTTTCTGGCACCGCCCACCACCACTGCCACCACTCCCGCCTCATCTCCCTTCCCCCGAAGTACACAGCTCACTGCATTTAAAAATATGTTAAAGCCGAAGTGTGTATTAGCATCAAGTCGGAATATTCCAGGCATTAGGTAAAATATGGCTTGTGGCTTGTGCAATTTATACTGATATCATTTATGAAGCTACGTATCATTTCATGAAGGTATGTGTGAGAAATAAGCACCACAAGCTCCGCATTACAAGCCACCCTTCTTTCGAGGGGGACCCCTCCTTCTTGACTAAATTCTCCTTCTGTGGTCAATCTGTTTCTCTCGCTAATCTTGACTTTAGGGGTGCCCCCCTCCCATGATCAATTGTAGTGACACTTAAAAATGGTTCCAATATATTTCCATATACACTTGTTCTTTGGTATTCTACCAAAGCACTTGTTCCTTTTAAAGTGTAATGAGATTTTATGTGAGCATCCCCCCTTGTTCCTGTAAGGAGAGAGGGGGAAACCCAGGTTGCTAAAGGAGGCCCCACGCTGAAGGGACAGATAATTCACAACACACTGGACAAGCGATTCTGTGTTTCTTGTCTCCTTTCTGTGGCCTGGCTGCTTCCCCCTCTCTCCTTTCAGTTCACGCAAGCCTTCCGAGTTTATGATGAAAGGGGAAAGAATGATTTACTATTCCCTCCGGTCCGCAGCCTCGTAAATGTCTTCCCTGTACCTAACTAATCATCATCATTACTAATTATGCTCCAGAAAATAATCTGGAATGCAGTCCCTACATATAAATCAAGTGGAAGCACCAAACACAGGCATGGTTTTTCCCGTTCGGCCTCTGTGTCTCCCTGGCGAGTGTAAGGTAGAACTTCACTTGGACCGAGTTGGAAATTGAGCCACATGATCTGATTTTAAGGGAGTGTAGCATAAATTAAGTGAACATTACTTGGAACATAAATCATGAATAAAATTGCACATTGGATTGATGGAAAAGCTGTGGGGGCAGGGCAGGGCCAAGGGAGACCCCGTGCACCCCCTCTGCAGCTGGAGCTGGTCAAAATGGCCTTCCTTCTTGGAGAACCAGGAGTGGCTCTGAGCAGCCCATTCGAAGCATTGCGCCCGGTCCGGAGGAGCAGGAGAGACAACCAGCACCACCGGGCCCTGGCAATATGGGGGCGCCAAGGAACCCTGGTGGTGTAGTGGTTATAAGCTGGGCTGCCAACCTCAAAGTGAACAGTTTAAAACTAGCAGCTGCTCTGTGGAAGAAAGACAGGGCTTTCTACTCCTGTAAAGAGTGACCGTCTCAGAAACTCACAGGGGAAATTCTACCTTGCCCCGTAGGGTCATGAGATAGTTAAGGTTTATTGTGCCAACCTGGCTGATAAACATATGTAGGATTAATTGAAGGTTGGAAAGATAAATGACTTGGTGAGTCTCACCTTTCTACTTCTCGGGTCTCTTGCTTTGTGATGGTGGGACCAGGGTGCAGCTGCCTCAGCCTGTTCCCTGCTTCAGCTGGCAAGGCTCACTTCCTGCAAGACATCTCTGAGGAGAAGCCTGGGTGCTGGAGCACCCGTGTGGAGACTCCTGCTAGCACTGAGATGCTTACACACTCACTGATTCAACTTTCCTCCTGCAGTCGGCATCATTGTGTGTGTTTTGTGAGATTGAGGAGGATTTTGTAGATAAGTGTCAGACATATGGGCTAATGTTGGATTTATGGGCTTGGACAGCACTGGGTTGGGATCCTTTCTTAATGTACACTTACCCTTTATATAAAACTCTCTCTTACACATATATGAGTTTCTGTGGATTTGTTTCCCTCGTTTACCCAGACTAACACAGGTCGCTATGAGTGGGCATTGACTCCCCAGCCTTGAGTATGTTCAACTCATTAACCTTCACCATGTTCCAGACTGGGACTGGGCGTTAAGAGAAGTTATATGACTTGCTCATCTAGTGACTGATTTGGACTTGAACGAGTTTTTTGAAGCCAGGAAACCCCCCCACCCCCACCCCCCGGGTTCTCTCTTCTAAGGCTGCTTTCCTCGTTTTGAATATGTTGTTGCTGGTAGTTGCTATCGAGCTGGCTCGGGCCCATGGCGCGCTCTGATGCAACAGAACTAAGGTGCCTGATGGTCTGCCCGAATCTGGTGATCGGTGCTCTGCTTGGGTCTATCCTTGTGGCAGTTGTGTGGGGTCTCCCAACCCCTCGGGCTCACCTGCCAGCTCTCTTGTGACTCTTAGGTGTTCTTGAGCTGTTGGGGAGCGGGGGGACTAGATCACCAAGCCTCCCCCCTTACTCTGTCTTGGTCTGGAAGCTTCCCTGAAACCTGGTCCCCATGAGTGACTGTTGGGACTGGACACGTTGGCAGCTTCCAGCAGCCTACCCACATGCGAGCCCCTCGGCCAGTCTGATGAATGGGTGAGGTACAAATGCTTGGGGGGCCCTGTTTTGATGTGCTGTGTCCATTTCTAGGGCCGCCAGAATGAAGTCCCACCCAGCGGTGGGTTCCAGGAACAGAGTCTCTCTGTTCTGGGAAGTCCCAGTCCCAGTTGAGGTTCTGGTAGGCCCAGCGTTCTCAGGGGAGACTACAAGGCGACCCTGTGTCTGAGGAAGGCGTGGTGCAAGTCAGTCAGCTGCAGGGCTCGAAATGATTAAGTCTGTGTCCTCTGCTCTCTCCTCCAGGTCTGAGCGCGTGCCAGTCCACTAGATGCCCGTGAGCTGCCAGGCCCCCTCCCGGCACTGGAAGGGCGCAAAGGAAGGGAGGCCCCTGCCCTCGATCCCAGCCTTGACCTTGCAGCTCCCGGTCCACGATGGAGACGCTGTCGCAGGACTCCCTGCTGGAGTGCCAGATCTGCTTCAATTACTATAGCCCGCGGCGCAGGCCCAAGATGCTGGACTGCAAGCACACCTGCTGCTCCGTGTGCCTCCAGCAGATGAGGACGAGCCAGAGGGATGTGCGCTGCCCCTGGTGCCGTGGCATCACCAAGCTGCCCCCTGGCTTCTCCGTGTCGCAGCTTCCTGATGACCCCGAGGTCCTCGCTGTCATCGCCATCCCGCACGCCTCGGAGCACACGCCGGTCTTCATCAAACTCCCCAGCAATGGGTGCTACATGCTGCCCCTGCCCATCTCCAAGGAGCGCACGCTGCTGCCCGGAGACATGGGTTGCCGGCTGCTGCCCGGGAGCCAGCAGAAGTCGGTGGCCGTGGTGACCATCCCAGCCGAGCAGCAGCCTCTGCAGGGCGGGGCGCCGCTGGAGGCCATGGAGGAGGAGCGAGACCGGCGTGGCGTGGCAAAGAGCTCCACCTGGTCCGGGGTGTGCACTGTGATCTTGGTGGCCTGCGTCTTGGTTTTCCTCCTGGGCATCGTGCTCCACAACATGTCCTGCATCTCTAAGCGCTTCACTGTCATCTCCTGCGGCTGAGCGGGCTGCCCGGGCCAAGTCTCTTGTGGGTGCCAACTTAGGGGGTGAGCAGGTGTTGGTGACGGGATCCCAGAGAGAAGAGGGGGGGCAACACTGACCATGGGGTGCCGAGCCCTGGCCTCGGGTGGCCATTGACTAACCCGAACAGACAGCCGCGAAGGGCGGAGTGGGAGGCTTCGGCCAGATTCCAGCCCCCGTTGTTCCCGGTTGGACGGTCAATGGCTTTGAAGATGATTGCATGCATCCTCATAATCATTTCTGAACAGGACTGTAATTTATGATTTTTCAGAATCATGTTCCCAGATAGATGTCTTAAAGCAACATAGACGTCAGACTGTGCCAAGCGTGTCCGAGGTGGCCCTCTGTCCACGCGGTAGACTGCACCAGAGCTGCTCCGTAGGCCGGTAGAATTGACCCTCAGAACCTGTGTAGAAATCCCATGGAAATACACCACTCTGAGTCCTTGTCTTTTTCTTATTTTCTATGCCACCCCATCTTCCTTTAGCAGCGAAGCCTTTTTCTTCTTCTTTATTAAAATAATAATAATAATAATACACGTTGCATCACACCGTGGGCCATTGTCGTTGCTCTCGGAGAGAATATTTGAACCAGTGTGCCGGACATGTTGTGTTTTGTTGGCACGTCCCTTCTTTTTTCCTTCACTTACAATCAGAGCTCGCGACGTGTGCATTAAACGGACCGCCCATCGGGGGCGATAAACTGAGTCCTAAGGAGATGGGCCTGATTCTACAGGAAACCCGGATGTCAGTCTTTCTCAAGCCATCTCCCGATATCCGAATTTGAAATGTAAATAATCGTGCATTTGTGTGTGTGTGTTTGTGCGTGCGTGTGTAGTTTGGTTCACCTCAGAGTTTTCCGTCTCGAGGAAGCCTGGGAGGAAGTTGTGTCTGAAGCAGTGGCCACCCCAGACCTGGATGCCACCCCCTGATGGGGAGGTGCCAAGTACCTGCCTCCTTGCACACGAGCCCTCTGCCGGGTCCTGTGTAGAGAAAGAGTCTGTCTTTGCTCACAGTTTGGAAGGACTGTGACTCAGTGGCACACCAGGCATGCATCTAAACAGACGGGCCTGACTTATTTTTTGAAAAGATGTACCATGGGAATGAAACAAACCACTTAGTAGGATTCGGGTGTCTACTGTTGGTGTATGTGAGCAAACCTCTTGTATTTAAAACCCTGTTTGTGTTGAAGAAAATCATAAAGTAAACTAACCACAGATATTCCTATTTCGAATGGACCTGTCCACGGTAAGTCCTTGCCTAGCCGTCTGTAGATACCCCCGTGTCCCTCTCCTGTTACGTGCTGTATTCGTGTCTTCGAGCCTGCGTGCATTTAAAAGCAGCTAGGAGCTTTGCAAGGTCGGCTCAGATTTCTTTGATGGAAACCATGAAGCAAGTGGCATGCAACAAGGATGCTGTTCATAAAAAGGTCTCTGTTCCGGGGAGAACTTGGACACAGGGCGGCGAGGGGTGAGGGTGGAGGGTAAACAGTAGGCAGTTCCAAGAATCGAGGCCAGAAAACACCCTGGAAGATGGAGAGGAAGAATGTCATGTACTGATAATGCTAATGATCATCTTCAGGCAGCGCAGAATAGGCCCCTGAACGTAATGTGGTTCGCACCAGATAAAAAGAACAACATCAACAATTGAACGCACAACTCTCATGAAGTTAATGGGCCTGGGGACTGGATAGGAAACACAATGTCTCAGACCTTCCCTGCGTGTCCTTTAAGACCTTTAGGAAATGTATGTGAAGCTCAAACTAGAAATTAGGTTGAAATGCCGTTTAATCGTGTAAGCTACTGGGCGTTATTCGACAAATAATCTAGGATTTATCTGGTGTTAATAACGTAGGTGTCGTATTAGCTGACTAATATCCTCTATTACATAAGCACTGTTGGGTTAGTGTCACGGTCTCCCAGGCTGCTGTCATGCATGTCTCACCTGAGTTCTATTCCTCCTGGTTGGAAGGGGGGCGCCCCCCAAATCCACAGAAGTACTGCTTTGAGAATGCTCCACTTCGAATGGACTCTACCTTTGCAATGTCAAGCCATGCCAATGTCCGTTGACTTTCTGAGTGATATCTACATGCATTTATGTACAGTATGGAGTGACTGGACTCTAGGACAGGGTGTGATCAAATTCTGCTTGTTAAGTCAGTTCTGCCTAGAAGGGTAGCCTCCCTCCCCACCCCTGTGCCTTGTGCAAGGCCCTGGAGTATAACAGCTGTGTGACTTTTACTTTAAAAAGAACCCCATGTTGGATCTGCAATTTCACAGTGCAAAGTTAATTGGCTCCGTGATAAGATTCTTGACCTTACAACCTAATCACTCAAATTGGATTCTTTTTCTTTTGAGTGTTGTTGATGTAAGACACATTGTTGACACGGAGTCTGCCTAAAGTTACGTGAGCATCTGCTTATTAGGGTGTGTGTGTGTGCATTTGTGTGTGTAAGGATTAACTTGCCAGATTCTTCTAGGCTAAATGACTTGATTTGGTGCCCCATTACTCTGGCCTTTTCTGGCATCTCCCCAGCACTAGAAGCCCATCTACCCCGTGTGGCACTAGTCTGGGGACATAACTTACCAGAACTCACCATTGCACATCAATTAAGAACCACAATGCAATGCTCTGAAAGCACAGAAAGAGCTGACTGTACCCTCTGGGGGCTCCACTGTGGGGATGAGCTAACTCCTCGAGGCTCACCAAGGTGCACTGCAGCTTGCTATTCTGCTGCACATGGGGGTTGAGAAGATCCCATAGCTGTCTCAGTTTCTCCTCCCTTCTCCAGCCTGTCCACATGGCCAGGATCATTTTTTCAGGATTGATGACCATCCTTTCCTACCACGACTATTGCTGCCAGGGGGGTTTGCTTTGGGTAGATGGATAGATCTGTTTTCGTTAGTGTCTACCTCTGGGAAGCACAAGGAGGACTAAGTTCAGGATGGGAATAGACATTTAAAGAAAACTGTCAAACCGTGTGATTTAAATTTGTAAGGTTGCAGAACATTGAATTTTCTCCCCTTAATATGGAAAGGATGATGAATATTGTGTAAATAGTAAACTATAAGAAGCATGAATTTTCATCTTTCTTAATGATCTTGACATTAGCGTGTGAATGCTTAATATGTCAGGTAGAGCCAAGTACTCTCTCTAAAAGCATAGTCTTTGGAAGTTTGTTTTTTTTTTTTGGTATAATGACCTGGGCCATACATTGTGATGAAAATGCAAATGGATTCTCAGTTTCTCAGTTCTGGCCCTAGTTTAGGATCAGAAAGCTGCTATAAGGTATGTCCTTTACAAATATAATTACATTTGATCTTGTGCATGACGTAGAGTGGGCCCCTCGAAGGTTAAATCTGAATGGATGCTATTCAGGAGAACTCTGGGAGATGATGGAAATATTGTGTCATCTGGGCTGTCCCATGGAGTAGCCACTAGCCACATTGGCTATTGAGCAACTGACACAGAGTGAGTGCCACCGAGGAACCACAATGCCTGCATGTGGCTTATGGCTGCCGTATTGGACTCTGAAGTTCTAGATGGTGGTTCATCAGCATGTGGCCGGAAGGTGTTAATGGAGTAACAATGTGAGGCAAAGCCGGGGGTTGGAATCTAGTAACATGCTGAGTGGGAAAAGAACATTGCTTTCTGAGCTTACGTGTGTATGAGCTCAAATATGATAGAGTACAAATTTATTTATTGTCCTTTGGATTATTAGTTGGAAACGTTGTGCCAAGAGGTAATCTGTGAAAAGCTTAAAGAGTGCTTTATTAAGCCCCCTTTCCGGGATCATTAGTTGCATGTGAATCTATTGTTCCAAAAATCATAGTTAGACAGTAGCTGTAAAACGTTTGACTTGCAAACTCTGCATGATCTGTACAGTGAAATTGTGTTTAGGGTCTTGTGGCCACAAAATAAATGTTACAGAAACAAGAAAACCCCAAACTAAAAAAAATAATAAAGTCTAATGAAACCCTTCTTACTTCCCGTTCATCTTCCCCAGACTTCACCACTGCATTCGTCAGACGTGAACTAGACGAGCAAGCATGTTTTGTGGTGTTCATAGATAGATTTTGTATTTTTGTTTGCCCTTGAAGTCTGCCAGCTTGTTATTGCATTTGGTGCGGGCATATGTGGGCATCGTTTTTCAGATGCCAGACTCAAAAGGAAGTACTATTTTTAGAGTGAGATTTGACATTCTCGCCTTTTTATTTAGTGAACCCTGAGAGAATGGAAGCCTTGCACAAAGGCACTCTTTTTTCAAACAGTCATTGCCGATGGAATTGAATGAGCTGAGGGCTATGAAAATTAATAGAATTTATTTTTCAGCCCGCCTGGGCTTTGCTTTCATATGCATATCAGATTCTTCCTGAAACTCTAGTATGTATTCCAGTTCTAGACTTTGGTTTGAAAGGAGGAGTTCCTATACTTTTATTAGAAAATCTACGTTGTATAAAAGTTGATCACTCTACTGTTGACTTTTTTTCCCAGCTGTAATGTAGACCAAGTACATTTGCTTCAATGTAGTGGACATGGGTTGATTTTTTCTTCTTCTAGAACTTAGCAATGGGTAAGACTGCTTGTCTTCACTTGCTCGATTTTTGTTTTTAATTTTTGCAAAACAAAGGGTCGTTGTTCTTTAGGTATAAGAAGCTAGGCTGCCCAAGGCTATACTGTTTCGGATACCCAAAGGTAAGAGAGGAGCGATAGGCAAACTATTTGCATTTCTGTCTTCTCTTAGAAACATGACACTACCAACCAGACAGCACTTGGTTTCCATGCATGAAGTGTTGGCAGTCAGCTGATTTGTCATCATTGACCCAGATGGGGAAGCTAACTCTTCCTGGATATTTTCATCTTTCTCAGAAAAACATCACCCCCAAGATAATCTTTACCAAAAGAGGACCTACAGAAGAGAATGAGGTATTTAAGATGATTTGGCAACTGTTTTGAAAGTGGTAGTGTATTTCAAACATGATGATCTATCTACCTGTTACTAAATTTTGTTCAACCTGAGACACATTAAAAAAAAAGTGGAAAGTCAAGCCGTTGACTTTTATGACATGATGAACTCCTATATCTGTACATGATTTAGCTGTGCGTGTTCAAAATCAAGTTATGTTATTCATGTTTCTGGGTTATACAATGTTATTATTCATGTTTCTGGGTTATACAATGTTAGCTGTTAGGTGTTAAATTTCTTTAACACACCAACTACTGTAGGAAGTATCCAAACGCTCAAGAGATCTCAGTAGGTATAAAGGTTGGGTTCTACCTTCTACGTTTTCTTGGGAAGCCTTTGGTCACTGGAGGACATAAGTAAGTGAGTGGGGGGCATTTCATTTCTGTCTTCCAAATGACTTACTTTTGACTCTGCTAAAGTGGTCAGGGATAGGGCGCCATGATTTCTGAAGGGTGACTGGTGTTTTTGCCCAGGTCTCCTTGTTCAGTTGGGTTAAGTATTTGTTTTCAGGATGCACTGCCAGGGGGGGGTCCCATTCTGTATATCTCCTTTAGAGTGGTGCTTGGAAACACTCATCTTGATAGCTGGACTTTACTATCCTAATCTAAGGGTTGTTTTTTTTTAATATACTACTCATACTATGATGCTTTTAGTACAATCAGTATTATTTGAGGTATAGTCCTGAGGGCCTCCCCGAAGTTTGCACCAGCATGTATTTTTGTATTTGAAGAACTGTACTCTTGTAGCAGCTCCTGATCTTCTAGAACATGGTTCTACATTCATCACTATGGAATTTAAGGCTAATAGCCTATGTGAATGTCTCTTGTGAGGGAGCGAGTTATTGGGTTATCCTAAGGAGGAGTTTCCCAAAGTTTCAACCAGTTTTTAGTTTTACCTGTGTTCTGTAAGATTCCAGAAATGGGGGTATTGGTGGTAAACGAACTTGAACTGGAAGAAGCAGAAAAAGATGAGTCCAATGTCCTTTAAAAGGGAACAAATTGGTCTCTTTGTGGTTTCTGTTTAAATCAGAGCTGCAAAACCTAGATGGTCCAGAATTTGCAAACTGTGGGTGCCTGGAACAATAACTAGAATCGGGGAAATTATAGGTTAACACCTTGCTAGACACTTCGCATCTCCTTCTTAAGAAACAAAACCAGTGTGTGCAGGACATATCAACCCAATGTCTTGCCAGGCAGTTTTGAAACAACGGCATCCTGCTCTAAGATGGAGGCCAGCCCTGCCACTTTGCTCTCCACAGTCCAGGCAAATAATCCAATCTCCCACATTAGGCTGCTGGCAGGGCATACTATGTCTCTTCTGGGTCTCCCATTCCAGGGATTGGGCCCGTAACTTTTCCCATTCAGTTATTGATAGAGGCACCCACATTTTGCACATGCCAGGCCACCCTGGCTTCACTTCATTGACCAAACTGAGCCAGTTTGAACTGTTCAAAGCCTTGATCTAAAGAACAGGGGATGCTGTGCTGTAGAAAATTCTTGGTAGCATTTTCCTGGCTGAGGAACAAACCAACTACCGAGTAGATCCTCTGGGGGAAAGACGGAAACATGGACTTGGGTCTGTTGAGTAGACGGGAAGATGGAGCCAGACCGAAGGGAAGGTCATCTAGCAGTGGGATTACGGTCACCACCTCGCATGTCTCTAAGCCAAAGGTCACTCGTGGCAGAAACGAGCAGAAGAAAGAAGCACAGGAAAACCAGAAAAACCGTTTAGCCAAGCACAATCTGCTACCCTAATACCGATCCCTGGATTCCTGAGTTCAGGATGTTTATCATGGAGGCATGAGAAGGGGTGGTGGGGGTGTTCTCAGCTGATGAGAGGGGTCCAAGGAGGGCCCCCTTGACCCTCTCATCCTTTCCAGTAAGACTTGCTTAGGTTGTCAGCACCGTAGACAATTCCAGAGCCCACTTGAGAGTCGATGGGCAAGATCAGGACAGACCAGCTCTCTGGCAGCCTCCTAACCATGGACTGAGATGCCTGCCCCGGGGGCTTGATCCTGACAGGAGGAGATTAAACCTGTCGGGAAAATGCTGAAGGCTTCTTGGGTTTTCTTCTGGTCATTGTCTTTCACTCATGTGTGTGTGTGTGTGTGTAAATTCTACCACTTGTGTGCGTTTGCGTCATTGGATAGTTGCGGGTGCACGTTGGTTTCAACTTGAGGAGGTGATGAAACCTTAGCATAGCCAGGCAGCTTCCCTACCAGAGGTCCTCGCAGCCTTGGTAACACATGCCCCAGTCCAATGGCTAGGTTGAGGCTGCTCAGAGTTCTGTTAGTGTGAGACCTTGACATGTTTCATTTACAATTATGTGGTTTATTTCTTGGAGGAGCCTTTCTTTTAAAGGGCCAAGTGGCCCTGCAGAGGAATGAGCTGCTGGGCTGTGTAGAAAATATTGTCCAAACGTTGCCAAATATTGACTTCGTAAAGGGGCTATCAAGCTGCTGTTTATAAATTTGAATGTCTTAAAAGCATTCTTGCTTGCTCTCTCTGTGATAGATGGTGTCTTAGTGAGTCCTGCGTTTTTCCAATGAGCCCAATTTTAATATATGGTATTTTTGTATGCCAAACTGGTGTCTTGTCCTTTGTATATGTGGTAATGTTGATTTTATGACAACTGTTAAAACACATTTGCTATGATTAAAATTCATAAAATGATTTCAAATAGACCCGTGAGTTGGGTTTTTTTTCTCCTCCCCCCTACTCCTTCCCCACAAAGGGGGGAAAAGTTGGCTGTGATTTTCATCATTGCTTACACTAAGAATTTTAATCAACTTTGGTAATAAAGCAAGGATTGTCTCCTGAGCCAAGGATTTTTAAGTGTACATGATTTCAAGTGGCTACTCTGAGAAGCCCAGGGTTGCACATCTGATCAGGAAGCGCGAGGTTGTGTTTGCAACCGGGGTATGTGATTTCTGGTCCCCTCCACTGTTGAGAAAGGCCAGTGACACGGTGTCAGACCCCAGGTGGACAAGTGTAGGCCAACTTCCTGCAAGCGCTGGCCTGGGGGCTCTGAGTCGGGAAGAAGATCCTGCAATAGGTGGTGTGCTCATCATTAGGGCGTAGGGTATTCGGGTACACCTTTTGGAACCTTAGTGGGGCACTGTCTCTAAACGATGGACTGCTAATTACAAGGTTGGTGGTTCGAACCCACCAACTATTCTGTGGGGGAAAGATGAGACTATTTGCTCTCCTGAAAATTTACAACTTTGGAAACTACGTAGGGGCACTATGAATCAGAGCTGACTTGATGGCAGGGCATCCTGGTTTTGGAGGTTTTATAAAATCTTGTCTTTCAGTGACTCCGTGATCACCTCACCAAACTTCAACTTGGTCTGGCCAGGTGGCCTGGTCCTAAGGCAAAGATTATCAAAGACTGTATTGATAGGGTCACCATGAGTCAGAGGCAACTCGGTGGCGTGAGAGCCCTGGAGGTTTAGTAGTCTACTTGTGAGTCTGCTCACTGCATTGTCAGCAGGTCAGGAGCAGCCACTCTAAGAGGGGAAGTTAAGGCTTTCTAGACCCGTGAAGAATTGTGGTCTCAGAAACCTACCAGGCCAGTTCTGCTCTGTGGCTGAGAGAACGGACTTGGTGTCGGGGTTTATTTGAGGGTAAGCACGCTCTGGCTCTGGGGAATGAAAACCCAGGACCAAGGCTTGTAAAGGGGTTGTGGGGAGACTGCTCCAATTCCCATCTCATACCCCAAAACTAAACATTGTACTGGGAAGAATAGGTTTTTGAAGGTGTGAAATTAACACAGTTAAGCTTTCCTTTTTTAAAATCAAAGACCAGTTGTGAATTTCCTTTGTCTTGAAAAAGAGTGTGTATGTGTATGCTCTTTCTCCCAAAGAGCAACTGGTGAGTTTGAACTGTTAACCTTGTGGTTGGCAGCCCAACGTGTAACGTGTTCTGCCACCAGGGCTCCTAGAGTGGTGCCGATGGGTCTTACTCTCAGTTGCTCTTGGAGAAATCGGGGTCTACCCAGAGGCAGCTCAGAAAAAAGGGCCGAGGCTGGAAAATCAGCCCCTGGGCAGGGGCTCTGACACCCCATGGGATTGCCAGGGGCTGGAATGGACTCCACATCAAGGAAACGAGAAAGCTGGTGTGGTTGGAGGAAGGCAAGAAAGCATTCGGGGCTGCAGCTCCTCCAGAGCCCCGTGGCTCCTTGAGGCCAAGACTGGGCCTTATCTCTAGGCTCACCTTTAGACTTGTAGCCTGGTCTGTAAGCTGCATAGAGGGCAGAGTGAAGGAGAAGAGATTGCAAGTGATGGCCCCATGGACAACCCTCTTCAGAAAGCTCTCTTGGGTGGCACACATGTAGATTAGCCTCTGGCAGGAGGAGAGAGTGAGGCTACGTTCGCACTAACATCCTGGCCAGTCTGGCTCCTCCCTGCCAAGGAGTGGTTGAGTGCACACAGCTTAGTTCGTTGGGGGTGGAGGTAGGGTACGCAAAGGAATGAGGATAACCAGACCTGTTCATTTACTATGACCACCCTGGCCCTCCACCCTTATATCCACTCTTTAACTCATAGGCACCCATAGGATTTGCGTGGCTGTAGTCTTTTTAAAAAAATCATTTTATTGGGGGCTTGTACAACTCTAATCACAATCCATCCATCCATCCATCCATTGTGTCAAGAACATTCGTACATGTGTTGCCATCATCATTCTCAAAACATTTTCTTTCTATTTGAGCCCTTGGTATCAGCTCCTCATTTTTCCTCTCCCTCCCCCTTTTCTCCCTCACAAACTCTTGATAATTTATAAATTATTATTATTTATTCATGTCTTACACTGTCTGATGTCTCCCTTCACCCACCTTTCTGTTGTCTGTCCCCCAGGGAGGGGTTATATGTAGATCCTTGGGATCGATTCCCCCTTTCTACCCCACCTTCCTCTTCCCCTCCTGGTATTGGTCCTGAGGGGTTTATGTAAGCTGGATTCCTTGTGTTTCCAGCTCTGATCTGTACCAGTGCACATCCTCTGATCTAGCCAGATTTGTACGGTAGAATTGGGATCATGATAGGGGAAGGGAGGAAGCATTAAAGAATGAGAGGAAAACTGTATGTTTCATTGGTGCTATACTACACCCTGACTGGCTCATCTCCATGTGACCCTTCTGTAAGGGGATGTCCAATTGCCTACAGATGGGCTTTGGGTCTCCACTCCACACTCCCCCTCATTCACAATGATACGATTTTTTGTTCTTTGATGCCTGATATGTGATCCCATCGACACTTCATGATCACACAGGCTGGTGTGCTTCTTCCATGTGGGCTTTGTTGCTTCTCAGCTAGATGTCTGCTTATTTATCT